AAAAAAGTATAGGTAATTATTCAGGCTTCTATATCACACGAACATTTGCGCCATGAGGAGCCGGTCGATGTCTGGGGTTTCGGATGCAGAGGAGGGTTTGGGACTGAGGACCTGTGGAGGCTTTCTTTTCTGGTGAAAGCCTGAAGCTAACGAGACGTCCAACTCCAGTTTAAGGCTCATCCGGAAAAGAAAGTATCTGAATAAACCCTGCATGAAATCTAAACCCTTAACCCTAGCTGTTCAACGTCGAAAGAAATCAAGGCCAAGCCGCGCGCTAACATGCTACAAGGGACTTAGCCCCACCCTTTCAGGGAAAACCAACGTTTGTCCGGACCTTTACCCTTGCAAGGTTCACGATCGACAGCAACATATCGCCATCTAGGATATACGTTGGCCCTAAAGTTATACTACACGCCCCACTATACTCCAGTGATCAACCAGACTCCAAGTCGAAGGTGCCCGAAAGAACTGCAATCCTAGGGGTTTAAGGGGTGTTGGGTTTAGGGTTTAGGGTTTAGGGTGTAGGGTTTAGAGTTCCGAGAGGTTAGGGTTTAGGGCTTCCGGTTTAGAGTCGGAGCCACCCTAAACCCTAAACCCCATACCCCTAAATCCCAAACCCCTAAACCCCAAACCCTAAACCCTAAACCCTAAACCCCAAAACCCCAAACCCAAAGTCCTAAACCCGAAACCCTAAATCCTAAACCCTAAGCCCTAAACCTAAGTCCTAGACCCCCACTCCCAAACCCTAAACCCTAAGTCCTAAACCCTAGTCCTACCGTTGCCCCCCGATGTCCGTCGCGGAGGCACGGAGCAGCTGCCATGGGCAGTGCCAGGCCTCCAGCTGCAAAGGCTCGAGGTTCGGGATCTTTTTTGGATCCTTTAAGGGTTTAGGGTTTAGGGTTTAGGAGTTGGGGTTTAGGGCGTAGGGTTTATATAGGGCTTAGGGTTTAGGGTTTAGGCTTTAAGGTTTAGGGTTTAGGGCTTAAGGGTTTAAGGGTTTAAGGTTTGGGGTTTAGGGTTTTGGGATCCTTTAAGAGAGCCCTTGTCTTAAAAGGAACCCTTAAAAGAACCCTTAAGGGTTTCTGTAAGGGTTCAGGTATGGGTTCCTTTAAGGGTGAAGGGGTCAGGGATGGGTGTAGGGAATGTTGGGTGTACAAGTTTAAGGGCGTAGGGTTTAGGGCTCGTGAACCTTAGTGATTTTACGGATCCAGAGTGAAAGGTCTTTGGTCTTGCTGTTTGTATATCTTTCAGGGATTTCTGGGTGTGGGATGAATTCGGGTCTCTGAAAAGGTTTACTGTCAATCTTTATCAAGGTTCTTAAAGTCTTGAGTTTTTTTGTGGGCGTATTCTTTTTTTTGCCCCGGGCACAAGTTGCTCTTCATAGAATGCTACGAAACTCGCCACGTGTCAATGCTATATTGCTACATTACTGAGACAGTTTTCCGACCAGTACAAAGAAGTGCTGGCTTGATCACACAAAATACCAGACAAAACCAACCTGCAATCTCCTCACCCGAACCCTAAACCCTTTACTCAACACCACTAACTCGCTGCGCTCTAAATACTAAGGCGAAGCCTTGTAAACCGTTGTCTGCAGGCCTGCAAATTCAAAACCCCCAGTCCGAAACCCTCAAGCCTTCATGAGCCCCAGGCCCCAACCCATGATTGTACACTGAATCGCTAGAAACCTCGACCCGAATCAGCTTCCAGCATCCCGAACAGCACCAACTCCAGTTCACCTCAGCGGGTCCGGTACGGCTCTCCATGAGCAGCGGTGCCACATCGCCATAACTCATGCAGGTGACTCATCTCGAGAAGAGTCGGGTTGTCGCTTTCAAAACACGGCACCAGTACTGCGCACTTACGGGACCGAAAGGGAACGGCAAGCATCAGATGCTTGGAAGTAACGCTTCTGCCGATTCTGAAGATTGCGCAGTTCCTGAGACTTGATCTTTCTGTATCCTCAGCCCTTGTGCTCGGGTGAGCGCGCAAGGACCAGTGAAGCGCCGCTCCGCAGCCGAAAACCCCACATCGGGAAGTCTTCCCAGCACCTTCTGGGTACTGTAAGAGCCTTGTAAGCTCTAAATAACAATGGCCGACTACACGGGTATCGCTATGCTCCTAGTGTCTGCTTCTCGATCGCAATTTGGTGGCTCGTTCAGGGTTCAAGGGTCTATAGAGCTTCGGATGAGTCTAGTACTGCGCAAGACCTCACCGACTCAACCCTTAGTCTACCCTATGCCTTAGTCTAGCCTTGTGGGATTTGTAAGACTAGTGGAGTTCAGCTCGAAAACATTTGCTCCACTTCCAAACCCCCATCGGCGGGTAAGGAGTTCGATGGGATTTTATGTCAGCATCAGGTTGCAACCCCAAAGCCCGACAATGCCAAACCCAAAGCCCTTAACCCAAAAGAACCCTAAATGCTAAATCCTGGACCTGAAACCCAAACCCAAGGGACCAGATCATACACCTGTAAACTCCAACGGACCCCAACTCCCGACGTAACACACTCAGGTTCGAGCTTTAGCACGAACTTCTACACAGCGAATAAGTTCGCATTGATATTATGAGGTTTCGGGCTTCAGGCTTGATCAGCTTTCCAAAGGGTCCAAGTATTAATATGACTATACTATAACTTGGACCCTTCGGGTTGTAATTCGGATATATTCGTAATCATAGGGTTTACACCGCCTCGAAACCCAAAAGATCTCGCAGAACTGGGGCAGCGGCCTCAAATTCTCGGTGTGCGGATGTCACGGATGTCTCGCAGCTTCGGTGGGGAAGCGAACGACCGCACCTCAGGTAAGTGAGTACATACATCTATGTATATATATATATATATCCACTGTTTCCACTGTTTCGGGCATAGGGTCGATTCGACGCAGCCCTTTTGGTTGCATGTTAATTAAAAAAGGTGAAACAAAGCTGCCGGTTTGGCGCAGGGTCCTGTCCACAGGTCGACATGGCCATCGTGAGAATCGTGTTGAACGCCAGGTATGCGTAACAACAATTCGATGTCGGCGCCATGCGGTTGAGGAGCTGTAAGACAAGTCCGGACCCCTCGCAGCCATAGCCGTAAGGCAAGCCGAGTGAGATCACCGACGAGCCGAAGCGCGCACGGATCCACTTGTGCAGCCGGAGGATGATTGCACAAGTCCAGTGCAGGGAGTCCGAGGAGGCTGATGCAAAAGCCACACTCTTCGTCGACCTCTGAAAGGAAGTCAGGGAGAGTGTTGCAGGAGAGGGCCCGAAGAGACTCAGCATGCCCATAGTGCAGGACGCCCTTTGTGCGTGTAGCCCATGTCTCAGCCGATGGGGGATTCCCGACTATAACAAGCACATGATTATTGGTCCACTCAATGAGGCTGGGGAGCTTGACCTTCCCCAAGTCTAGCTCATGCTCAGTGATCTCTCTAGCGCTAGAAAGAGCTTGTTCAGCGGGCCTATGCCTATCAGTCGGGACAAGCCAAGGCGGAAGATCAATGGAACGTAGCCACGCTATTGCCCAGTGGATCCTGTCCTGTTGAGCTCTGGTTTGCCGTTCCTGCTCCGCGCAGCATCTCGACTCCCATGCTGCAATTGTGGCATGTAAACGTCGCTGGGGTAGGCACACACAGGAAAGGGAAGCCCTTATGCGCTCTTGCAGCTCCTGGTCCGTCAACACATCGAGGCTGTCATCAAAATTGAGTTGGGCCAGGCAGTCAAGTGCCTCTGCCGAGGGCCTGTCCATTTCATCCGTAATGACATCATCATGCGGGCACCGAAACGGTCCCTCGGCCTGCAGTGTTGGAGCACAGAAAAGGTGCTCTTTGGGGGCCTTTCTGCTTCCTACCCCCGGAGCGGGGGGGACCCGCCCCCGGCTGCTGAGGAGTGCCAATCTGCATGCCTTGGAGTGCCGAACATGTCTGCAAAGACGAATAGTTGTGGCGTATTCGCGAAGGCAGTGTGGGCATTGTGTACCTTCAACAAGCAGACGAGTCTCATCGACCCGACCGTGTACCTTGAAGGCATGCACTGCCCAAGCTCGGAGATCCCTGAACGCAACTTGACACGGGGCACAAACCTCGAGGCCTCCCTCCGTCACAGAAGCTTTGCCTACCGGCAGAGCCCCGGCGCGCTGCAGCTGCTTAGACAACAGATACAGGTGTCTTTCACATGCTGCCTGATTCTCTTCTCGCCGTAAGGCCGCTGCAAGGGCTCGACGAATCCGGGACTTCCACTTGCCAGGAGAGGTACGGCACTCTTCGACCCATGCTGGCCACATGGCGTCCCAGCTTCTGTTCTCTGTCGGGCCTCTGGTGAGGTCCCACATCCAACTCACTGAGGACTGTACGAGTTGTAGCCAGTTCTCCTCCCAGTGGGCCAAGGCCCAGATTTCCGGGACCTCGAGCCTGACGCAGGAAAGAAGGTACCGAAGCCTGAAGGCGTGGACATAAGTACCAGCTCTGGGCACTCTTGCTGCAGCTATGGCCGACGCTGTGCCGAGATGCCACGCCTCTTCACAAGTGTATGCTGGTGCGAGCATCTGGCATGCCATCTGGCGGATGACCGCGTCCAACGAGTCAAGGTGTGCTTGCGAAACGCCCGTCCATGTTCCTGTGCCGTGGAACATGACCGTGGACACAAGACTGTCAAAGAGCTGCGCTTTGTCTGACGCGGATACGAGTGGCGACTGAAACACCTTCTTTTTGCGCCTGTTGAAAGCATCCCATGCCTGTGCACATCGATGGGATATCTCTTGACGTAAGCCTCCGTTGTGTTGGAGGAAGCCTCCCAGGTGTTTGTAAACCGGCACGATGCGCAGTCTCGCGCCTGGCCAAAGCCTACACGAAAGGGGAATTTCCCCCTGCCCTTGTCCGAAAATGTCTTTCCGAACTTCCCTTGCTCCCTTTTTATGAAGCTGTATCATGGCCTCCGTTTTGCCCTTAGCCAGGTTGGGAACCAGCGCCCTCTGTAGGCAGGCGTCAATGAGTGAAGAGGCCCCAAAGTCAAGGGCACGCACCAAATCAGACGCAGCCGTCGTCATGAGGAACATGGAAAGGTCATCCATCCATGTCGCGTCCGATAAACCTACGTCGCCGCCAGGGGGCGTGGCAACCGGGTGGATCCTAGAATGCATTTCCGGACCCCATGGTATTCGGGCAAGGAGTTCGGCATCGGTGAGTGCCTTGTGCACCTGCCCGAGGACCTTCGCGAAAAGAAACGAGAAGACAAGGTCCGATAAGGAGTCCCCAGGGCGGGAACCGGTCCGCGTGACAACTATTTCAGGCTCATTGGGAAGCCTGAACCAAGTGTCTCGAAGTGACTCGGCTACGATGCCGTCTGCCCAGGCACTGCCTCCCGCCTCTCGGACAAGGGATGGCCCACCTATGAAGTCCCTCAGCTCGTGCATGGTGTTAGCAGGCAACTGTACGGCAGCGCAGATGCGAGCTATTTCTTCATCAGTGGGCTGGTCTCCTGTGATGAGCGGCCGAATGATTCGGTAAAAGGCTTCCTGCAGATCGAGAAACAGAAGGGAGTGCGACAGGCGCCTCTTTTGACAGGCAGATTGGAACAAGCGAGCTGCATGTGCCGGCATGGTCACTGGGTACTGAGGTAACCCCCCAACCTGCAGAAGCACTGTGCTTTGTGACAGAGGACCTGTGCACCTGTTGCGAATGGTTTTATGCAGGGCTTTACCAAGCGTCGACGAGACTAGTATCCCTCGGTACGAGCTGCAGGACTCCTTGGGTCCCTTATGCTTCCAGATGAAGTATAGCGTGCCCCCCTTGTGCTGCACTGGCTCGCAAAGACGGAAGGCGGACTTAAGGAGAATCTGGTACGCAATCTTAGACAAGAAAGGCGCTCCATGGTGCAGGACTTCCCCTGGGATACCGTCGAGCCCATAGGCTCTGTCCGTGTTTGCAGCTCGAAGGGCAGCCTCAAGTTCTACCAGACTTGGTAGATCATCTGGCGAGAGCGAGTAATCCGTCAAGTCCTTGGACATCTGTCGACGCATGCATTCGTGGACAAGCTCGCTTGGACCTTGCAAGTGGCCATCCTCAATGGCCGAAAAGTGTGCTATCCATCTGTCCTTGGATTCCTGATGTGTAAGAGCGAGAGATCCTGGAGAGACCTCCACGGCCGGCAAAGGAGTCACACCCCTCTGCTTGCGCCTGGGTCCGCCGGTCAAGGCTTTAAGTTTTTGCACCGTGTCCTTGGTAGGCATACTGGTGGCTTGCACCGCGACCTCGTGGAGGTAAGCCTTGGTATCCCTTCTGATAGAAGAGCGAAACTGTGAGCACGTACTACGAAGAGCCTCAATATGCCTGGGAAGTTCGTAGAGGCAGCGTAGGAGACGGCTCCACCGCCCTCCGCCTGCCTCCCAGATGTGGCTTTCGTGAGCCCAAGCCTGGAAGGCGCACCGCATAGAGAACTGCTTACCAAATAGAGAAGCCGAGTGCACGCGTTTCCTCAACCACGCTCGCTGGTTACGAAGTTGCCAAGTCTCGGGCTGAAAGTACGTGCGCCTCTGAGTCACGCGCGGAGCCGGAAATGCAAGGGGCAGCACTTTGCGGAAATGATTTTCGATGTACGCCGCATGACGGTGTACGTCCATGCTCCATGGCTGCGGCTCCAACGACTCACAAATATGACGGATTTTCTCCTTGCCAGAAGCAGTTCCCATGGCCTGGACATCGAGCTTACCCCGACTGCCTGCCTTTGGCGCCTCAAGCAGGATATGAGCATCGGTGTGAACAATCAAGGCATAGTGGTCTGCCCTGGCCTGGCCCCAATCCAGACCGTGCAGCACCTTGCTGGAGCCACTGGCAACCTGCCATGCCTGCGGTAGCGCGACATAGTCGAGGCGCGACGTGCTGGTCCCTCCGGGTGCTTGCCACGTGTCAGAAGGCCCTGAGTGACAGCACGAGAAGGTGCTGGGTATCCAAACGTCAGCTTCCTCGAGTAGGCTCCAAAAGACTGGCGGGGGCGACACCTTGGCGTGCCATGTCAGATCCCCGACTCTTCCTTCGTGACTCTTGTCGAGGTGCAAATTGTAGTCACCAAGTATCACCGTCTGAGCTCCTTGGCGTAGCCGCCCTACAAGGAGTCGGAAGTTATGCCACCAATGATTCCGTTCCGGAGAGGAATTGGTGGGTGCGTGTATGGCAATGAACAAGATCCGCACACTCGCACGCAGAAAGCGAACTGCAATGATTCTGGGATCCCAATGAACCGCAAGGAAATCACTCTGCTGGAAGAACACCTTGGTGGCAGGGTGCGTGATGAATGGGATGTCGCGCGAGAACCAAAGCTGGGTGCCGTATGAACCCTGGTTATCTCTTGCTCTACAGAACCTGATCTGTGTCTTGGATTGGACCGTTTCATTGCGGGGGGCACGGGTTTCCTGGAGTGCTGCGACACAGACACCAAGCTCGCTGAACTGTTCCCGCAAAAGGCCGGCTCTACCACAAAATGTGTTGAGCGCTTGCCCTTCAGTTTGGGCTTCAGTCCCTGGGTGCAGAGACTGTACATTGACGGTCAAAATAGACGCATTTAACCTTGCACCCCGAGCTCTATGTCTCTTGTGGCCCTCTGCGTGCGCCTCAAGGCCTAGCATGCTCGCACACTCCCATGAGTCGGGAAGCTCGACGGACCGGCTACACTGATCCACAAAGGAGCCGGCGAGGTGCGTAGGCCAGGCCGTCGGATGGTAACACGCCTCGAGGAACAACCACAGCCACGGCATCGACTTACGACGTAGGAAGAGGCAAAGGGGATGCGTGCCCCAAGTCGTTCCCTGCCTCTCATGGGTACAGCATCTCTTGGCAAGCTGATCGGCGATTTCATTACCTGCATGTCCGACGTGAGATCTCATGTGTTGTAGAGTAATCCGGTCCCTGGTTCCTCTAGTCTGTAGAGCCTGCATGGCCGCTCTACACGAGCACGCAATGTCTTCGCCTCTAAACTGGCCTGAGGTTCCCTGGGAGAGACCAATCGCCGTAGTGCAGTCTGAGAAAATTGCGATCCTAGTAGGGGATGGAAAGGACAGAAGCCAACCCAAACACCAAAACAGTGCTGTGAGCTCCCCATTGAGTGCACCGTGTGCGGCGGCACCAAGGAAGTTGCTTGCCTTCGGGTCAAGTTGAACACGGTCCCCAATCCAGCCTATGCTGACCCATCTTCCACCTTGACGACCAATGGCATGGAACGCCCATGAGCTGATGCAGCCATTAAAGGAGCCATCGGTGTACACTACAACCTGGTCGTAGGCCTGGGCAGAGGCACTAGTACTTGCACATGGGTATGCTTGTTGCCATTGGCGCATGATATCTGATCCTTGCGCGGGTAAGGGCCATAGCTGCTGAGGTTCTCCATGCAGGAGGCCAGCGACCTGATCCAGGGTACAGCCAACTTGCATCTGCACACTGGTTAGGTCGAAGGAGCGGGCACCAACATAGTCTGCCAGTCGCAAGACCGGCACGACCGGCACGGTTGGACGAGCGCCGCCGGGTCTTCTGCCAACAGCATCGAAATGCTCCCACACAGCCTCAATGAGTGTGCGAGACATATACATTGCCCTGTCCTCCGTCACAATTCGAGATTCCTCAAGCAGAGTGGTTAGCGGCCCTATCTCTCCAATGAAGTTGTCCGGATGGCTCAGCCGGGACAGGGCCCTCGCCGGGGTGGGTATAGCCCGTCCATCTCGCAAAGGAGGAAGGAATCGTTGCTCTGCATGGGAAAGCGAAGTTGGGGTCTCGGCGCCCCATTTGGCCGCACGTGCAGGAAGGGCATGTAGGCTTTGCATGGCGTAGGCCTCCTTGGCGAGGACACTCGCGATCAAAGCCCACCAGAGGAGCCCGTGCCGTCCACATGCTGTTGCAAGGATGGTTGGCCACAAAAGAAGCCGTCCTGATGCAAAATCATTGTCCCCCTGGGACCATCCGTTGGCAAGAAAAACGAGGAAAATGAGGAGCCCAAGCGCTGCCGGAGGCCACGTACATACAAGATGTAGCTGTGCATGTCGGCTTCGGTGCCTGCCAAAGGAGCAGCTTTCCTCCAAATCGGCCCTTCGCACTTTCCGGCCTCCTTGTAGCCTCGTCACCTGACTGCACTGCAGCCCGGCTGTACTTTCGCCGCCGAGCCTTTCTTGAGGGGGGCCTGACTGCCTCCTGGTACCTCCGGTCCCTGCATCGGCACTGGACGTGGTGGACGACGCTGCGCTCGGTTCGGTGCCACTGAGGCTGGAGCCGCCAGACCCCACGCGGGTCATAGATGAACACAGGCGCATCATTCGGGAAACGAATGGCCAGCAAGTAGTTCGGCTGGAATTCAACCCTGATTACTTCGCCTGTGTGAACATTGCGTACGTGGTTACCATGGTCACCAGTAAAGCTACCGCCATGCACCCTTACATGGTGCCCTAACGGGCAGCGTGTGGCAATGCGCCTGCACAACAAAGTGATGTCGAGACATCCTTGCGTCGCATACGCCCATGAAAGGCGAAGGAGTATCGGTCGCAGATCCAGTATATATGGCGTTGGGCTGTCTTGCGCGTCAGGTGAGAAGACATCAGTTGTGCATGCTACACAAACCTGGTCGGACGGGTGACCCTTCGTTGCATGGTCTGCAATGTCCGGGCTTGCGGGCACCAAAACATAGCCTCCATCAGGAAGGCCAAGAGCCGCGGAGGCATCGGCGCTGCTCAATGCAAAAACGTCTCGGTTAACCGGCACCGCCTGATGTACACCATCCGTGAGTATCCAGCTGACTCCGGCCTCGTCCCCAGGAAGGGCAGGCAGACAATCCCACACACGGGTGGTTCGCAGGTGTTGGTCGAGGTCAGGGAGAGGAAGAACACGGTGGTGGGTTTCACATATCTGGACCAGATCTCCCTCCTCTGGGAAGAAGGTGTGCTCTCGCTGCAGGGGCCAGGGCACATCCTTCACGAAGACCTCTAGGGTCTCATGAACATTCTCATCTTCTAACCCGGCAAGTCGCAGGATCGCCTCCCGGCTGCACGTGTGAGGAATAATTACCGAGAAGATGCCTGGCGTGCCACAACGGTTGTCTATGAGAACCGCAATCCCGGGAAAGGCCCATCTGGGGAGTGCAAGTATGCATACCTGCGCCTGTCTGGGTTGTGGGAAGACAGGAACAAGCCGAGGGCTCCTTCGGTTGTCTGCTGCATCTCTGCCCTGTGTGACTATGGCCAGGGCCTCAGCAGCCCCTGTAAATGGCAGCAGTCTACTGACAACGAGTTCTGGCCAATATTCCTGCGAGAAAAGCAGAAAGGGGACGCGTATGGTTCCATCCTCTTGGCCGATGTAAGCCAGTCCCCTCATAGAGAGGCCGGGGGCGTCCTGTGGGTCTCCTGTCGGGACGAGGGGTTCGGAGGTAGGTGCTTGCCTGACAAATTCGGCAGTAATTATCTGTCCAGGTCGGACCAGACACTGTCCCTGGTCGTCCGGGACAATGTCGACTGACAGTCTCCATCCTCGAGGCGCGGACGGGTGAATAACCGCAAATATAGCTCCATGCCGAACCCTACCATTTGTGGCCAGGACGTACCTCCATGCCTGCATGATGGGTCGACAATCAATAATGCAAAGGTCTTCACGAAGATACAACCTAGCTGGTCGACGGCAGGCAACGGCCAGAACAGCTTTACAGTGAAATCCACTGATGGCTGCATCCGCCGGCCTGGGTTGTGCGGCCTGAATGTCGGTGTCCTCAATCCTAAGACCTGCTGCACCTGCGATGCCACTACGATAGTGGCTGGGGCGCTCCTCGTTGGCAAAGTGGAGCAACGCACCTTCCTGGCATACAAGGCAGTAGGGAGTTCCTGTTACTGCAGATACCGGTGAAGTAAAAGGGGTGACTGCCCACTCCTCACGACTAAGAAGGGCTGCACCGAGTGTACGTTGTTGCCGGGCAACGTGAGTGTTCGGCGAAAAAAGGATTAGTGAACCAGGGTAAAGGTGCACAGGAACCTCACCAGTAAGGGGATTATCATCTTCCCCGACGGTGACTTGGAGTGCCTGGTCAGGGATCTCGGCGCGCTCGAAGAGTTCGTGTCTGGCGATGTAATCTGGAAGTACGACAGAGAAAATGCGCCCATCTATCTCTCTGGCATCGACACACTGCACTTGGCACAGCGGGTCCCATGCGGGACGAACTACGTAGAAGACATAACCCGGTACAGGCTGAGGCGTAACTGGTAGGATGCTCGGAAAAAGCCATCGCCTGCGTGGCAGGCGGCTTATCTGCACAGCTACCTCGGCCTCTGAAATGGTGGCCGGTATGGAAAGCAATGTGCTCACCCTTTCAGGGGTGAAACCTGGGGTAAGTATCACCGCATGCAGCTGGATTACGGCTTCTTCGTCTTCCTCTGAGACTGGCTCCTCATCAAGAGGTTCCGGGTCAAGGAGGGCTGGTAGCCCCGGCGGAGGCTCGTATAGCCATCTCCCCCCCAGTTAGACCTCGCAGCCTATGAGACGCCGAGTCCGTGTGACTAGGGGGGTTAGAGATGAGCTTGTCCGCAGGTTGAATATCAGCTTGCACTTGTATCCCAACAGGGATTGAGCAAATATCCTCATGGCACTGCATGCAAGTCCCTCGGGGCAGACGCTTAGGCGCCTCCGATCTACAGCAAACCTTGTTACTGGCAAGACCTGCGGAGGCCTGCTCCGGGGAACGGGCATGGCCTGATTTGACACAAACGGTTGCAATCCAGAGAAACCTGACAAAGCATCGAGCGATGTTGTTTCGTGGCTTCCAGCACGGCAAAATGCCCCAGCCTGCATCTGTGGTGGCTGGGCGTGTCTGGTCTGCCGGGTGCCCTCTGTCTGGTCCCTGCGACCGTGACACATTCGAAACACTTGCATCTTCCGGGTTGGCAGGAAGGAGGACCGCGCTTTCTCCTTGGTGATCAGGAGGAGGTATCCTTTCGTCGCCATCTTCATGGTCATCCTCTGGCATGTGGCTCGACGAGCCAGATTCGGAAGAGGTCGGCGTGTTGATGCAATATCCAAAGACAAAGACAGCACCTTCACATGATTGACCTTCCTCACCTGTAGGCACACATGTGTATGCTAGGTGGTGCAGGGGGGGCGGGCGAAGGCCAAGCCTATCGGCGTAGCCTAGCGGATCATCGACCTCCTCTGTGTAAACCACAGACACTCCCTGATTATGGCAGGTCTCCCATCGAGAAAGACGAGTCTCCCCCTTCTGTCCGGGGTGTGCCGGAGAGGGAACACCGCTAAGGTCTGGCGGCAATCATGCCGCCCGACGCAAACATCTCCAAGTTGGTTCTCCAAGGGCCGAACAAACAGTGAGTCGGCCGGCTGACGCTCAACAATGTCTGCAATTCTTTCTGCCAAACCAAGCTCGGATGAAGTGTCAACCTCAATGAGCGTATGTTGGTCGCCATGCAGAACAAGCAGCAAGTCCTCAGACTGGGATCTCGGTACAACAGGACTTTCAAGCCACGGTACCGGGTGGCTAAGCCTAGAAGCGAGAGAACCGAACCAAGCTGGAGGTGTGCCCTGTGACCTGAACTGAACTACCCATCCATGAGCAACCTGAAAGGTGGAACCTTCTTGCTGAGGTTGAGTAGCACCCGCAACGTAGCACGAAACGGGATGCGCCCAATACCTGGCGGCCTCTTGGCGGCACTCCCATTCGGACACCTGCTCAGACACAACCTTTGCAAAAACGGGTCCTCCTATGGCGTGGAGGTCAAACACGACCGTACATCTTCCAGAAGGTGTATGCCATGTCGGAATCAGCACAAGAGAGCCGAAGTCGCGGCCGAGTTGAGGCAACGTTGGGCACAGGGCATCAAAGAAGGGCGGGAATCGGTCCTTCAACACATGTAGCACATCCTGTAGCGTTTCGTGCTCAACGCAGGGTAGTCTGAGCTCAATGCGTGTCTCAATGCTTTTATATCCCGGTACGAAGACTTGAAATGTACAGGCGGCCAGAATTGGGACCTCGGCAGACCTGATGCCTACCTTCATGGTACCTTGGTGGTCGTATCGTGTGTGAGGCAGGCCTGTGTGTAATCCAGCACGGATGTCATGTAGGTTCTGCGCACTCATCAAGGCAACTTCTTGAGTCGCTCCAGGACCTTCTTCACTTCTGTCTCCGGCAACTTGGTACACTGGAGCCGGGTCAGGTATGGAGCCAGACTCATCCGGCAGACCTGTCCGGCGGGGCGTACGGCTTCGAGGGCTGAGCTCCTCAACCGGAGACGCATCACCATGGTTGGAGTTTGATGTAGAGGTGCCTGCCTCGTCTTCCTCCTCATTGGAATCGGCACCTGCTCCGCCCGCTGCACTGAAGTCACTATCAGGCAGCGGTCTGAATGTGAGAACATCACCGTGGGCAACCTCAACATAGTACCCGTTGCACTCTCTACCAACTACCTCGATCTCACTATCCCTGGGAAGTTCTTTCTCAAATGATCGAAGCACAGTGGGGAGATGTATGTTTCGACTATGTTGATGCCACCCAAAAGGTCTGACGCCTAAGGGACGAAAGTCCAGAAAAATCTGAATCTCCTCTCCGTCTCGGCCTGTCGCTTGTTCGCCTCCAGGAACATCGACTAGCATCGCTAGACCCTTGCAGCGTCGCCCGTGAAGGCAAAGATCTGTCATAGGTGGACCCATTGCACATGCGAGCTGAGAGCTTCCTCTAGGACAACCTGTGACCTCGGTGGCTGCATCATGAAGGGACTCCTCAGAGTCCTCCGCAGCTTGGACGAACCAACGCTGGGTCCGGTACAGAAGGCAATACCCTTGTACTTCTTCCTGCGGACGCAAGTCTGATGCCGTGCGCCACCTACTGGCATCCCGGAGGAGAGCGGCTTGGCTAGGGCCATGTCTATGCAAGCAATGTTCACCACACACAGTGAGCAAAGTACCATGTGCTAGCTGGATGTCCGCATCAACAGCATGGGGCTGGCGTGACTTCCCAATGAATAAATCAATGCTATAGTTGTCTGGCGGAAGCATTGGGATTATGAAAGACACCCAGGCTGAGAAGCTCAAAACTGAGGGAAGCAGGGCCGCAAAGATCTTGCCTCCCGCGGGCTCCAAGTTGATCACCACGGCTGCGTGACCAAGCCCGTCTAGTGCACTGGAATGCACAACATATGTTAGCATGCCGTGGAATGGCGTTGGCTCGACAGGGGACGTACAATCGAGTATGTCAGTCGGCAAAAGAACGGCCGCATTGCGAACACTGTGGGCTAAGTCTTGCGGATTGACACCAAAGGGGGCTTGCAAATCGACGAAGCTAGTCTGATAGTGCGGAGCCATTATTGCTGCTCCAATGGTGGCAGCGAGGTCTTCCTCGGTTCGGAGCGTCGCTGCATCCTCAACAACATGAAGAGGGGAGTCCTGCTGCATTGGTGGCGCAGTTACTGCAAGAAAGGCACCGGCAAGAGCGGTGATGGCACTGGCATCAGTCTCTGATGGAATTGCCCACACACATACAGGTGTGTTGAACCATAGCACAATCCATTGAAACATACGTTTCAACAACGGATGGCGACACCGACACGTACTTTGTCTGATTTTTCTTGGTTCTGGGGGCCAAGCGAGGATTGGCTTCGGACTGCATACCCTAGTGAGGGGTTCCAGTACCTCGCAGCCTGTGTAGTTACCAGTCTTGCCTGTGCACCTACCCTGTCTGCATCTGCTGGACAACAGCCGGAAAAGGACACGTCCGAACCACGCAAGGACAAGGACGGTGACTGAAAACAGTTGGTCATTCAGCCACTTGTTGCTGTTGATCCAATCCTGGCCGCGTACGTAAAGATAATGGATTTGAAGCGGGGCCTGTGTCCCTGAGCAACCGATACACATGTTTTGCGCTCCCGCTTCAAAATCAAAAGGGATTCTTGCGGCACTGTTGCCCAAATGCACACAGCAATGCGTGCTGCGCAGCGTCTCAGGATCTGGCGTCGTGTCCGGCAAAGACTCCAGCCGGAAGTGTGGCGTGGGGAGGGACCCCTGATCAAGAACCCAATGACCAGGAGCCCTCCGCGAGGAAGACGGTTTAAGGCTCATGTCAGCATCCTTCCTAAGTAGAGAAGGTGCCAGCACGTCCTTACGAAATGGCAGACTTGGACGACCCGATAGGACGATGCCCATTTGACGACTGTACAGCAACCGGCAAGTAAAGCGGGCTACCTCAAAATGTACAGTACAGCTGTGAGACCCATCATGCCATGACCATGCCCATCCTGTGGATTCGTTCGGAGCCAGTTGACCGGCGGGGTGCTGGAAGATCGGAGACTCAAACCCCAGAGTCTCTACGACATCCGGCCCCGACAGCCCTGAACAGCGAACTCTCCACATCCCTCGGCGGTCTGGCATGATGCTGCTCCTTCTCAAGTGAGCTCGTCTCCATCGTTCTTCTTCGTGTCCGTCTCGCTTTCTGGTTCGCCACTGTGGTCGTCGTCGATCACGGCTGTCGTAGGCGGTTTCCCTGGATACACCGGAGGGATTATGCCCGTCGTTGTCGTCTGGCCCCCACCAAATGGGGTCATAGCCCTTCGCATCTGCAGGCGATCTGCCACCGTCACAGCAGTCGATGCTGTTCCCGGGTCGCTGCCTGCCTCGTAAGGGCCTGGCCTTGTGCTCGGCGAAAGCGGCTTGACCTTGGAGTAGAGGCTTCCAGGTGATGCCTGATAGGGCCCCGCACTGTGTGGTAAGCCGCTTCCCGTGTAGTCCGTGGGCGGTGCCTCCGCCATCGTCAGAGTCGTGGGCACTGCCTCCACTGTCCTCGCCGACGGGTGAGCTCTGTCCTCCATGTGAGGATGTGGAGCGTGACTCAAACTCACTCCTCTCTCCACTTCCATCGGCCCAGGTTCCAGTCCTGGCGGAGCTGGCCCAGAGGCAGGTACATGTCCCATCGGTGTTGCGCGTCGGCTGCCTTGCGTTCGCGTGGCCGCGTGGGATGAGCCATACTGGCCCTCATAGCCCTGTCCAGCACATCTTGTGCCTCCTGGCTCGCGTACTCTCCTCGACTTTCTGCAAGCAGCTCGTCCAACCTCGCTCGGTGCTGCTCGGTTTCCTTCGGCGCTCGTCCTGCATGAACCTGGAGTAGTTCCATTCTGGACTCTTCTTGCGCAGCTGTGGCTCTCACGAGGTCTTCGTCGATACGTTGAAGGTCGCGGTGGAACTTGTTGAATTCCCTGGCGTACGACTTCTGTAGATCGGCCTCGTACCTGTCCCACAACTTGGCCCTGTCCTCCTTGGCTCGCGTGAGCGTCGCAACCTTCTGCTCGCACTTGCGGGTCTTGTTGAGTGCGTCTTGGATCATCTGGACCATTGAGACCGGCCCCGTAGTCTCGGTCGCACTTGGTTGTCCACGCTCCCATGACATCTGGTTGCGGCCCGGGTCGCAGGATGGAAAGCCAGAGTCCCGTCGCGACCAGGATCCTTTCCAATAGCTGGGGCCTCCTTGTGACTGTCCTCCGTTTCGGCGCCATTGTTTGCTCATAGATACTCCGGATCCGTGGTGTATCCACAGTCGACGTTGCTGCAGCTGTGATAGCTGCTTGCCGGCTCTCCAGCGAGCCCGAGCTTTTGAGCGCGCAGCTCTTTTCCGGCGGTGCCAGGGTGGGCTCCGAGGAGCAATGGCGGCGCGTGGCAGCAAAGGCGGCGACTTTGTGTCGCCTGGGGCAAAACAGTATTCCGGTATCCTCCACCGGCGATCTGAGCCCTTGTATATATATATATATATGTATGTGTGTACACGTATGCCCATATGTATAAATGTAAGTATGTATATATGTATACATATATATATATATAGGTATACATATACATATGTATATATATATATATATACAAACATATACATTTTTCACGTATACATAATATATCTTGTCTGAATGTACACGTCGGAATAGTCAGTGTGTAATATTCTCCCTTGATTGCTCCACCTTTTTAACTCAAACCACCATCGACTCTAATGGCATAGTGAGGACCCCCGTATTGGGGTTCGGGCCTTCAGGTCTGGGATGTCTGCTGAGCTTCCTTCGGGTCCCACTGGGTGTGCTTGCCGCACGACTTCAAAGGTTAAGTATGGTTGATGTGATACCCTATCCCCCCAGGTACCTACTATATAGGGTAATTACTAGAGCCCCTAGGGCCCTATATAGTAGGTACCTGGGGGGTTAGGGATAGATGTGCTGGGAAATACGGGTTGAGAACAGGTGCTTAGCTGCAGAAGGAGCTCTCGGCTTACTGCCGCACCTCTTATGATCTACGCAGTTTACCGAGCTCACTCGTTGACCCAGCCCAAAGGGTCCAAGTATTAATATGGTAGCTACTTTGTAGGGCCCCCAAAGTATATACCATACTATAACTTGGACCCTTCGGGCAAGGCCCAAGGGGCTGGTTGAAGCGGCTTTTTCCGGGCGAAGGGTTCAGCAGCTGAGCTCCTGAATACGGGCGGCAATGAGTCACTCGCACGAACGCGCATGCACACACTGTAACACTATCTGTCTAACTGTATATGTTCCTGCGTATACATGCATACACGCATGCATACATACGTACATACATATCTCAATATGCCACAAAATAATTAGGAACTCCTTGCAGTAGGGTGCCAAAACCAACAAGCATGGGACTTGGAGGAAAGCTTCAATCGAGGGTTGGGATGGAAAAGCCCCAAATGTTGGCCCTAAATCCAAACACCCGAAAGCTGATCCCTTACGGGTGTGCATGGTCCATCACTTTAGGTTTATACTCACTTGGGTTCACCCTTAACGCCTGAAGCTCCTACGCCTGAAACTCCTACATCTTAAACACAGAACATCCCGACCCTTAGACGCGGATATATATATATATATAAATAAATATAGAAAAGGTTCATGGGCTAGTGTACTATGGCGACGTAGGCTGCTGTAGTTGGTTACATACACTGGCGCAAAGACGATTAAACAGTAATATACTCAAGAAAGTTACCTGCTGTATGCTAATGAGACTACCATATTTTATGGGAAACTGAACTTCTCTCGATTATAACTAATTCGCCGGGACTCCTTAATTATCCCTGAGGTCTGAAGCTGGAATCTGCAATGCTCGAAACTCACCCGACGAAATGTGCTCACAATTGCTCGTCCGAAACTTCCAAAGGTCAAAAAACCGGCAGAATGAGTCGTGAGTTTCGGCGACGAATTTCTAAGCCCGGAGAGCATTTCCCTACAACTGAACATACACACGCTCGCGCTGCCACAACAGTTGCAGAAAACCACCAAATCCTCCGAACCCTAAACCCTACCTGAACCCCTAAACCCTAAACCCTCCCTAAACCCCTCAACCCAAAATCCTCCCGAAACCCCTATATAACCTATAAACCTAAACCGAAATCTGAATCCTGTCTGTCCAAGCTACTCCGGCAGAGTGATGGCGTCGAGAAGCATCCCGGGGTTCAGCGGGAGGCATGACCTTCAGGAGGCATCACGGACCTAAAGACCTCTCTCCCTAAATAAATAAATAAATAAATATATATATATATATATATACATATATATATATGTAGATATGTACATATGTTATAGATGCTTATCTTAGTCTACATGTATACAAAACATGTACCGTGTAGATATAGACGGTTACACATATAGATATACATATACTTAAATGTTTCGCTACCATATACTGTTCATGAAGGCTGTACCACCTGAACAACGAATGTTTGGGCGATTGAACACTTAGAGAGAGTGCAAACGTGGACAGGCACGATGCTGTTACAGGGCCTTGGGTCTTGCAGCATACCAGAACCGCCGATGCGTGGAACGATGTCGAGGTGAAACCGTTTTGAGACAGTAGTTATAGTAAGACATCTTCGCTTGTTTTCATTCAGATCTACGACTAAAAGTACTCCAATGCTTCAGGTAATTATCGGGCGGACAAATGGTACGGCATGTTGATTCAGAGACAAGGAGTTAGGGCCTTTTCCTCCCGGTTCATGTTCACTGCACGAGTTTGACTGGTTTTTGAACTAGACATTAGTTGGGCAAGGATCCTCCAGTTTGCACGAACAGCTCCCGCGTGAACGAAGCTAAACAACGAGCGACCACTAGAAGCTGCTGCTCCTGCTCCTGCAACTGCTTCCGCCACAGCCACTGTCAGCGCAACAACCAAAACCACCAACAACACAACCGCCAACTGCTACTAAGTACTGCTGCTACTCCTCCTGCCGCTACTGCTGCTCCTGCTGCCACTGGCCACAACGACAGCGTCAGCGCCGACGATAACGACCGTGACCACGGCGACCAAGACTGCAACAAAGCTACATGCCCCTGCCACGTGAGTGGTCAGGTTTTCATCGCTATGACAGATGCTATGCTGGCAGGAACAATACACGGACCCTTTCCCGTGAGTACAGGGAGGAATGGCACATACACAGCTAGAGAGAACAACAATCCGCCTTCAAGGATAACCTTGGCAACCCTTCAACAATAAAGCAACGGTACAATCCAAACCGCTTGAAATTTACAATGGTGTTGTGAGGTTAATCCCTAAACCCGCTCAACCGTAGATCTATACAGGAGCATTCTCAATCACCCGAGCCCGGAACCCTACCAGGCGAAACCCCTTTACAGCCTTCTCTGAGCCCTTTAAGGAAACCTTACACAACCCTTTAGGGTTTAGGGTAAAGGGTTTAGGCAACTTTACCAGGCGTTAGCGAATGAGATGGAGCGTCTGAGCGCACAGCCGGCGGCATGCCAGGACCACCATGGTGACCTGAGACTTAGCTTTCAAGTTTTTTGGGGGGCTTGAGGGTTTTGGGCCTATCTGTGTTTGCGTTTCCGGGGATAGCCCTTTATAGCAAGCACAGTTGCGTGGCTGCAACCCACTATTTTGTAGGGTTTTGGTCTACAGGTGGGAGCAATATAGAGCCAAGGACAGTTTCGGGCTCGGGTAGATGTTGGCGGAGATTGGTGCTTACAGCAGGAATCTCATAGGGTGCCGAATACCTAGTCCCGAATCCTGAAATCCTACACACGGTTCCTTCATTTCTTAACTCCACCTTTCGGTACAGTATATACTTTGGCATGAAAGTTCTCCTGTTCTTCTTGGACCCGTGTAAGTCCACACTTACATGTATACGGAGGTCACGGGCATGCGGCCTGCGAGGAGCTTTGGTAATTATGCTAGGACAGAATGCTTAGAATCACCCCCGAAGGAAAACAACACATGACAAAAACGAGGTATGTGGGTTTAGCATTTGGCAGCACTAAGAAATGGCATAGGGTTTTGGGGGTATATTATACTAGATTTATAAAAAGGAACCCCCAAAATAGTATAGGTAATTATTAAGGTCTCTATATTACATCATGACTTTGTGGACTTAGACTGATTCCGTAAGTGCGCATTTACTTGCAAGACACCTTTAACCCTGATCCCCAGGAACATATACAACAGGTACCAGAATCTACGAATTCCACTCAAGGATGCCCTGTTCGAACCCTTGTCCGAGTTCCAAAGTATGGCGTCCAAGCAGTTTAGGGTTTAGGGTTAGGGTTTAGGGTTTGGTCTCCGGGGAAACTATTGCCTGGTGTTACCTCGAGCTCTCGTTTCTTCACCGCGAACGACCTTGAACAGCGAAATGCACTAACTTCTCCGCAACAAGCAACAGGTCAAAAGAGCTCTGCCAACCTAAACCCCACTTCCTAAAACCCTGAACCAGCCCCAGTTAACCCTAAAACCTAGTAATACCCGGAAACCTAAAACCTAAACCCTCATCCTTTACACCAAAAGCCCTAAACCCGAAAACCTAAAAGCCTGAAGCCCTAAACCAACTCTGGCCTCTGCAACTCTGGCCTCGCACAGGTTCGTACCACTCGTGCGAGGCCTGGCGGTGGGAGCCCTTTGGAATTACGCTTTGAGGCTTTAGGCGTCTACACTAAACCCTAAAACCTAAACCGGCAAGTCTTAGGAATTTTGTGAGCTTAGGGGAGATAGGGTCGAGGATGGTTTAGGTTCTGCATGGTTTTGTGTCTAGATTTTAGGCTCTAGGGGGAACGGCTTAATGCCTTAAGGTTTAAGATGTAGGCTGCTCGGGTTTAGGGTGTAGGCTTTAGGGATAATGGTAAGTTTTTGTACGTACCTTGCCTCTGTAGCCCCGAAACCCCAAATAAGCGCCCTAAACCCTAAACCTGCAAGCCGGAAGCCCTAAACCCCTAAACCCTGAACCCTAAACCCCTAAACCCGTAAACCCCAAAACCCAAAACCCCCTAAACCCGCAAACCCTGAACCCTAAACCCCCAAACCCCTAAACCCTAAACCCATAAACCCGGGGGCTCAGGGCTCTTAGGTTCTCCTCCATTGCTGAGTACATCTGACAACCGGGACAGGGGCTTTGCTGCTTTAGGGTTTAGGGCAGTTCAGGGTTTAGGCTTAGGGTTTACTGTAGGGTTTCGCGCAGTTTTGGGTTTAGGTTTAGGATTAGGGCTTAGGGTTACACCTAGAAATGGAGCTTTA